TCATAGAAAAATTTCCTGAGAATGAAGTGGGGCACAGGAGACAAGCCACCTTGCACTGCTCAGGAATTATATCCCTCTTAAGACAGAAAAATATGCTCTGACCATTTGAAAACTGAAGATCTCATACAAAGTAATTCATATAAAGAAGCAGCATTGCTTCTGTAGTACTCTTAACAGAAAAACAACCTCATGTTTGAGCATCACCATAGCATAAATGCAGAGGAGACAATCTCAGGTGCTCGACTGGCAAGTACCTGAGATCTGGGAAGAAAGTGTTTGTAGTTTACTGCCCAACTTTACTCATTTACTCACTCTTCTATAGTCTTCTACTATAGAAGACTTCGTGGTCTGAACTCATTATAAAGTAGCTTCAGACATGTTCTCTTCTCATGGCAAATGGCTGTCCTTGCACTAAAGAATTCCTTTAACATATCTTGTTTTGTTTTTATTCTCTACCATTCACATACACGGTGTGAGACAACACTAAAATGGCTCAACCCTAATCAAACATGGCTCGTTCCACAAAGCACTTGCCCTTAAAATTCCTTCTCCCATTCTGAGGTACACTACCTATCCATGGCTTTACAGGGACATCACTGCTGGTGGGATGGAAGCATTTCCACCTCAAACGTGATGAAGAAACAGCCACACAACATGCTCGCAGAAGTCCCACGAGAAGCTAGGCTGTGTGAAATCATGTGGGAGAGCAGACATACTGTCTCCATACTCAACTGAAGGACTCCACTGGGAAAAGAATTACAGCCAGGGCATTTTTAAGCCCACACCAGGGGGGCTATGAAGCTACGCAGAGCAGACACTGGGGCACAAAGGTGGGTCCTGTGCGGGGGGGTGAGGAGGACATGTCCCATGGGGGAAGGAGGAGGGGGCATGACCCAAGGGAGGGGGCGTTCACATTCCATGAGGAGTGTTGACCCAAAGGGGAGAGCACAGAAACCATGCTGTGGGGAACGGCACGACCAAAAGATAGATCCACATCTCACACTGGGGGGATGGGGCACAACCCTGATGGGGGTGTCCACACGAGGGAAGGGCTGTGACCCAAAAGGGGGGTGGGTGCGGTGGTACACCACCCAAAGGAGCGAGGGCCTATACCAAAATGGGGTCCGCAACTCACACTAGGAGGGGGTATGGCACAACCCAAAGTGGGGGGGCAGACCCAAACCGGGGTGCCTACACCCCCCACAGCACTGGAACGGCCGGGCCCGATGGGATCCTGCCCCCACACCTTCCCGCCCGCCCCCCCCCCTTGCAACACCGTGTGGCCG